GAGGGTGTGAAGACATTTTTGTGTTGCAGTCTGCTGTGTGCATTGGCCAAAGAAGGATGAGCCTTCGGGACCCTGTCCCCTTTCTCAGATTGAAATGGCAATACTCCTGGGTTGACAGCATCAAACGCAGCAAAGAGATTAGCCCACGATCATAATGACAGGTATCTGTCCTTTGTCTGCTGGTGCACAGAGCATATCCATCTATGCTGCTGAAGCAGTCTCTCTTCCATGTCCTAGCCAGACTGCAGACACTCAGCACCCAGGACGTGTGCATCAAGGAGACATCTGGCTTCACCAGGAGCTTACTCAGAAGTGGGTGTTGGATGCTGGTGGTAGGAGGTAGAGCTGATGTGTCATGGCTTGGTTTCTTCAGTGCTGGTCAGGTTATTGTATGTTCAAGGAAGAAAAGGAAGTAGTCCTTTCCTGAATGAAGTTGTCAAGGATGTAGGTATTTCTGGTTTACTCCTATTAAAAAAGTATGTGACTTAGGATGTCCATACACTTTGTGTTGCTATTACTGGTAGTCTGCAGTAGTTCAGAACGGCAAGCTGTAGGATGTGAGGAGGTAGGCTAATGGGATTAGTAGGAATGGAAAGTCACCTTTGTTTTCTGTACCCGTTCTACCTTGAATTAGTTTTTTTCAAGGTAGTAGGTTGTGCATGAGGATCTAGGTGAGGTATCATACCAGCTTTGTGCAGAAAGCGTGCATGCTTCCCAGTTATGCAAGACTTACCTCATCTTGCACACAAGGGATCACATTTGGCTTAACCGCATCGTGCACATGTGGGATCACATTCGACTTTCCAGCCTTGTGGTGGTGTGGTTCGGTGATGCTGTGGCGAGGCAATACTTGCAGAATTCCTCCTCCTCTGGTGTTAGGAGGCCCAGCCTAGTGCAGACATTCTTGTCATTGGGGTGCGATCCAAGCCACATGGAAACAGTACATATTTTCCCAGGATTTTCTGAATCAGGCCCATTAGTTCCGGAGTACATGTCTTCGCATTTTGTACTAAATAGATTTTGTTGTGGTTTTGTTAGCTCACTTTTCAAAATCATCTAGTCCTGCATGACATCTTCATCGCCAAAATACTGGTAGTGCTTCCAACTCAATGTCACCAGGAAATTTCACCAGAACCCATGTATTATTTTGCCAAATCACTGTTGAAAATATTAAATTTGTCCAAAGATTTGCCCAAAGATCCTCGAGTGACTCTGCAAATGATCTCCTTCCCAGCTGATGGTACCCTTTTCTGCTAACTCACCTTTATCCTGTTCCCTGTGCATCCACTCCTTAATGAAGAATTTCCAGTTTGCTTTGATTCAAGTGTTTGACTGAAGTGGCCAGACTGACACACTCCACGCTTAGAAAAATGACGTTCTGTTTTTAGGTCATTTTCCATTTACTGCCATGTCATCGGTTAGGCTTTACTCAAAAAGGCATCATGAAGCCTTGCCTGCTGGTGAGGTCCCACTAAGATGTCTACATGAATCTCCTTTTTTTGGGTTTTGAGGAAATAGTGATTGGGAGAGCTTTGCTTGAAGGACTGTAGGCAGGGTCAGGGAGAGTTCAGTTCCTGGAGGCTTTGGCTCAGAGAGGCAGTTAGTATTTTACATGTAGCCTTTTATTCACCTTTCACTTTGCTTGCCTAATTTAAAGGGAACATATCCAGCAACTGCCAGTGGTGTCACTTCCAAAGGGACACACTTCCTGAGGGCTATAGACTTGTTGGGACTGCCTTGCAGATCCCTGGGACAAGCCAGACTTTTACAGCCAAGAGGTCCATGAGCCAAGCAAGCGGCTGGGCTGTGAGGATGTTTCTCTGCAGCGGGGTGACTCCAGGCAGCTGGTGTAAAGTGCAGGGAGCTCCTGGAGAGACCGCAGAGGCTGATAGAAGCTGTTCCTGGAAGTCATAGCAGCACCATTTCATTTCAAAATGAAATCTTCAAATTGGTGCTGTTTCTTCATGGCACGTGCTGCAGCAAGGCAGGCGTCAGACTTGGGAGGCTTGTGCTGAGCACCGGTGCAGGGTCGGGTGGTCACTGTGGGCATGCAGTGCGGGCTCTGAGCGCATGTCGGCGGCTCTCCCAAGTGTGTCTTCCTCTGCACACCGGGCATCCTGCAGGCCCAGCATGGGTCATGCTGCAGCTGTGGCCGCCTGCCCTGGCAGAGTGGTGTGCTCCTAGGGTGGCTGCCGGCAAAGCTAAGCGGTGCTGTGGGGCAGGCTCTCAAGGCGCCTGGGGTTGCTGCTCTGCGAGTCTGACCACAGCAGCCTTCCTTTCCTGCTGCCTTTCCTGCTGCCAGCACTTGTTCCTGCTGCCCGGCCTCACCCACCTCACAGTGCCACAAAACTGAGGAGGTCTGTTGCTGGGGGCAGGTTTGGAGGGTGCCTTGGCCACAGCAGAGCAGCATGTCCCTGGCTCTAGTCAGGGCTGGGGCACTTGGGCGTTTGTGGCAGCCCATGCTGCTCCTCAGAGGAGCAATGGAAGGGCACGTGTCTGCAGGCTGGGGCTCCCAGCGTGGCTGGGGCGAAGGTGCAAGGGTCATATCCGGGCACCCTGGGGCTCTGCAGGACTTGCCCCTCTGCTGGAGGAGCTTCTCCCAGGCATGCTGCACTCCTGCTGTTTGCCTCCCTCTCCTCCATGGCTGTGGCAAAAGGCATGTGCTGTGTGCACAGCCTGGAATGGGGCCGGCAGGCACTGCCTGAGCTCTGTCCCAATCCTGTCCTGTCCTGTCTCCTCCTAACACAGCAGCACAGTCCCCAGGACCCAGCTCTTCCCAGTCCCAGGAGAGCAGCGTTGTCCCTGCTCCAGTGGCAGCACGCTCCCTCCCATGAGGAGGCAAGAGGAGATGGATGCGGCAGTCAGGAGCAGAGCGCCAGCTAATTACCCTTCCGAGTGTGTCTTGTAAATTAAGGGCTAATTAGAGGCAAAGTCAGTGTCATGGTTTTACACGTGTTTCTGTGGCGCTGAACAAGGGGAGGGAGGGGGAGTGTGTGGCAGCCAGGCTAGAGGCAGACGAGCTGGTGGCTCTGCTGCTCCTGCCCCATGGGCAGGGGCCCTCGCAGCTCGGGGGCTGCAGGGCACTGTGGCCCTGCGAGCTCTGCGTTGGCACTGTCAGGGCAGGCAGGATCTGCAGGCAAGGCTTACAGATAGTCCCTACACAGTGCAGCAGAGAAAGGGGATTTTTGGTCCAGGGTGGGTACATGGAAGAGGATGGTGGGAGACACCCACCATGCTGGCAATGAATGAAAGGTGCTTGTGGACAGCAGGCATGCCTGGTGCAGGGCTGATGGCCCACATCACCCCTCCATTCAGCACATGCCTTGTATCCGCCTGTTGTAGGAGGGGATTTGGGCTTCCTGAGCTGTCATTTAAGCCACTCTGCAGCCTCAGGCAGCACTCAGGCACCAGTGACACTTGAATCACATTTCTTAGGTTTTCATGGAAACAGCAGGGACAGTAACTTTATGTACAAAATTTGGGGCTCCACATGGGATTTTATGGGGCTCTGCTCTTTGTGGAGGGTGGCTGAGCACTGGAATAGGTTGCCCAGCAAGGTTGTGCAGTCTCCCTCCTTAGAGATACTCAAAAACCATCCAGACACAGTCTGGGGCAGCTGGCTCTGGATGGCCCTGCTTGAGCAGGGGTTGGACAGGACAACCTCCAGAGGTCCCTTCCAGCCTCAGCCATGCTGGGATTCAGGAGAGCAAAATAAGGCTGGTTTTACACAGTGAATACACAGTCAGGTGAGCTGTCCTGGAGGTAGCAGATCCAGCTGGGGACCTGCTCCTGCAAGTGTCCATCTGCTCACCAGCCTACTTCTGTGAAAGGATCCCACTTACATACCAGTCTCATGAAACAACTTGCTTGGTTTCTCTTAGCCCGGCTCCTTGCATGGCTGCAGAGTGGTCGGCTCTGGCGGGGCTGGGGCAAGCAGATGGGTCAGGCTGTGGATGCACATCTCATCAGCGGGGTGCACTGCAGCCAGAGCCATTCAACACGCCCTGCCCTCATCCATGGCCAGACGGGCTAATGTAGGAGTCCCAGCTCAGCATCTGTGCTTCCAGCTGTGAAGTAGGAAAGGTAGCTTCAGAATAGGGAAAGGGACCCTTTGCTTGCCCCCAGGCTCCCAGAGCACTTGCTTTATGGTGGCTGGTGCTGAATGCCCTAAGGGAAGGCATAGGAAAGTGCTTGTAGTGGGCAGGTGTAGGGTAATCCCTCTAGGGCAGCATCATCCTCCTTAACAGATTGCCTGCAGCCTTGAACAACAAGATTTTTGCTCCCTGTCAGAGCTGCTCTGTTTACTATTCTGGAAATTTTGGATATTCTTGTAATCCAGAATCTCTGAGTGATCTTGTCTTCTGTGATGACCTCTAGTCCCAAAAAACACTCCTTTCCTGGGGGGGTTCAAGATCTGGGTTCAGCTCAAGGGGTTTCCAGCTAGTGGGAAGAGGCTTTTCCACCCACGATCCCTACCTTACAGACATCTGTTCCCCCGCTTGTCCCTTTAACATCCTCCATGTGATTTTCCGTTCACTCCTAGTGCCTCCAACATGGTTGTGTTTCTTGCTAGGGACACACAAGGAGTGAAGTTAAGGAGTGAGGATGGGCACATTGGTTATGGGGTGGGTTTGTGTTTGCCCAGGTGCCTGAGGCTATAGTGAAGATTGTGAGCAGACCATGAACTCCAGCTGCAAAATCTGGCTGGAGGGGGAAGCTGTGTGCCAGGATGCCTAGCGATGTGTCCCGGGGTGCTACATTGAAACACATCAAGCTGGGTGTCCCTCTGAGAAGTGGTGTGTGCTGGGAAGTGCTCTTTTCTCAGCATCTTTGGGGAGGGTGATGCACTGGCAGCCCTTGGGAATGGAGAGCCAAATAGAGCCTATCCTCAGGCAGGGCCACCCGGGGGCATGTCACATCAGGTACAGGACAGCTTTTCCTTCTTCCACCATGGTTCAGAGCAGCAGTTGGTCCGTGCTAAATTGGTGTCTCTCTTGCAGGTGCTCCCCACTCGACCAGCAGTACCTCTCTGCACTCGGAGCGCTCCATCAGCGGCATCAACCTGGTGGGCTTCAGCTCAAAGCCAGACGGCATGCACCAGCGCTCCTACTCTGTCTCCAGTGCGGACCAGTGGAACGAGGCTGTGACTATCCCCGGCAGCTGCCCCAACCCCTGTAAGTAGCACTTCTGACCCTGCTCCCCTCAGCTGCAGCAGGTGGGGAGGTTTATTTTGGTGATGGGGCAGTCCTGAGCTCTGTCCTGTGACTGCGAGCCCAGAGTTTGCTCACAGGTGTCGGACACAGCCTTTGGGGCCTTATTGGGACTGTCCACCTTCGTGACAGTCAGCTGGAGAAGCTCTTCTGCCAGGCACAGTAAAGCAGTCTCCCTCCAGTCAAGGGATGCTGCTCTGCGGCAGGACTGTTCTGATCTTACTCCTCCACCTGCCCCACTCTTGGCTCACTGTGCGAGGAGTAACCATTGCTTTCCCCCATCTCTGCTCCTCGTTGGCACGCCCAGCTCCCAGATTTTGGGGCAGCTGAACGAATAGGAGTAATTCCTGTCTCTGGAGCACACACTGAGCACAGCCCACCCCCTCCCCCCACGCTCACTCGCTCTCTGTGATGTTTCAGGACAGTTGAGTGAATTAAAATAATTCATACATTTCCCAACGTAGCCACTTTGCCGAATTGGAAAATAAATGCTTTTGTGCTGCATTCATCACTCCTTCATTCCTGGCTCTGCCGCCGCACTAAAAAAGCAGTTAAATGCACATCAAGAGTGGAGGAGCCATTTCCATGCCTGCTCGCCCCTTGTAGTTCTCATTAGCGCAGCAGCCGCCCCCCCGCTCGGTCCCAGGGGCTTTCGCAGTTTAAAGAGAGCCTCTTTATGATCATTACCGGAGTCCGACTGTGCGGGCGCCATTTGCAGCTGAGGAGGCTCCTCATTTGTAACTGTGAAAAACTATCAATTTCAGCGCGCCTGATGCAGCGGCTCCATCATTGGCCCCATCAGCTCCCTGCTGGAAGCGAATTAATCAGACTGTTACTGCTGATGGGGCAGCGCAGGCGACGGGAGCGGAAGGGCGCAGCTCTGAGCATTAATGTGCTGGCAGCCCCCCCACCCCTTGCCTCGGACACGGGGTGCAGCAGGGCAGCCTCTGCTCCTTCAGTGCCGGAGGAAGCAGGGTGCGAGAGGGGACCGCTTCGTGCACCACTTTGGGCACAGGCGCATCTGCTGGAATGCTGCGGGGCCGGTCCCCCACACTGGGAGAGGGGTGCCCCCACTGCAGGCGGCACCTTGCCCTGCCCACAGGAGCCATGCATGTAGGCAGCAGGAGCCTCCCATGCTGACTGCCAAGCATGCCCCTGTGCGTGCATCAGCAAGGTCTGCACACGCTCGTGCAGGCGAGCAGACGGCAGCACTGTGGTTGGCACGCACGTTGCCTTTGCACAGGTGAATTTTGTGTCACGGCCCTTCCAGACAGCAGCTGTCTGCCTGGATGGCCTCCTGCCCCAGGGACCGTTGTGGCAGGTCTCATCCTCCTCCCAGCAGCCCCGCTGCAGAGCCCAGGGGCCCAGCGTGGCCGCACTGTGCATTTTGCCTGCCCCGGCTCTGGCCTGAGTGTCACAGGAGAGCAAGCCGGCCTCTGCTCCCTGTCCACAGGAAAAGCCTGCTGCGTTTGTGGCCATCCAAAGCAATCTACCTCTTTCATGCAAAGTAACCTGGAGACTGACACAAACAGGAGCTGAGATGATGCTGCTTCTCCCCGTGACATGGAGGGGTGACATGTCGACTTACTCTGTCTCAAGCGCTGATGGCTGCTCGTCCACTCTACCCCGGTCCTGCTGCACTGTGCTGGACCCCAAGCCCTGTGGGTCAGTCCTGCCTTGCCCTGCCCTGTGTCCAGAGACATGTCACTGGGCCAGCTGTGCTGAAGGGTTCACGGCGCATGAGGGGCAACCAGCCTGGCTGTGCTGGGGGCCTCCTGGAGCAGCCTCACAGTCCATCACCTAACTCACAGCTCGTGGCGCTGTCACCACTGCGCTGGCAGGGAAAGCAGCGATCTCATACCTCCCAGCATCTGTCTCCCATCACAGAACCGCTCAGGGCTGTCAAGAAAGGGCTGGGGCAGGCGGAGCCCCTGGAGCAAACCCCTGGCCGCAGGGGGGCAGTGAGCAGCTCCCTGGGTTCTTGTCCCTGTTGGCTGGAGCAGTCCTGGGCTGTGCACACGCCAGGCTGGCAGCTCTCCGGGCTGCGTACCTGCACAGCCAGTGGCCAGCAGAAGAAGTGGGTTCTGTGTCAGGAGGGAAAGGGCTTTGAGGGGGGGCAGGCAGTGCTTCCTGTGTGGCACGGCGTGCCAAGATGAGCGGCATGTCTGCTCTCCGCTGCAGGGCTGAGCTAAGCTGAAGCAGGCGTGCCTCCTCACACCTGTGCCTGAACCCTGGCTGTGCCGCTGTGTCTGTGCAGCCCAGGTCTGAGTTCTCCACTGTGTTTCCAGCTCTAAACAGCAGGGCAGCGTGGGGAATATTTCTTTGCTCGGAGCAAACTTGCAGGCACATGCAGAGGGTGCAGGCTGCCCTCATGGCTCCTAGAGAGGGGCTGCCTCCTCCGGTTGTGCCCTGGAGAGCACATGGAAGAGGTGTGGGACGGGCTGTACAGGTCATGTAAACATGCTCCAGCACATTTTGTGTTTGTCCTTTATGGGACGACCTCTGTGGCCCACCCGTGGGGACCCAGGGGCTGCCTATAAGGCCAGCTGGTTTGGAGGGAGGAACGAGGAGGTCCCACGTGTGCCTGCAGAAGGGTTCCCATGGTGAGACAGCTGGAAGTGCTTGGGTGGGTCAGAGGAGCTCAATTCTGTCCTGCTGGCAAAAAAGCAGCAGAGCAAGTAATACCTGATCTTGTAGAGGGAGCATGTTTCCCATTCTGCCCATGCCCCATTGCAGTCCCATCCTCATCCCACTGGGGGCCCTGGAAGCCCCCAGCTTTGTGGCTCTAGCTGCTAGGCAGTAAGAAGAGCAGGGATGTGGACAATCTCTGCTCCACGGAGCGGGAGGTGTCAGACTCACTGCAGCCTGCAAGCGCGTTGGCAGGAGCTGCAGAAGGGCACGAACCCTCACACTGAGCCTGGAGGGGTGCAGGATGCTGGTGGTGTGTGGTTTGGCCCAGGGGGTGTCCTGGTGGGCAGCAGAGGTAGGCCGGATGCACCACGTGTAGCCTCAGATGAGAAAGTTCAAGTCCCCTGCGACATCCAGGCTGGGAGATGAAGGTGCCTTACACCTGTTGAATGGTATCAGTAATTTATATTTATAAAAATTGAGTCTGAATTTATTAGATTTATCTCTCTTATTGTCAAGGGTGAACTATTTCCCTGTGGATAAATAGCAGCAGAAACACCCTACTAGCGTGTGTCAAATGTAGTAGAAACCAGAGATGGAAGAGCTCTGATGCCACATCCTCTCCCAGCCTTGCGTGGGGGACACAGGCTGCACGCTGGACCTCTGCATGGGGCAGCTCCTGGCCGCTGCCTGTAGCTGTCTCTGTCCCACTCTTGGATGTTTGTCTTGCCACACAGAGACAGACCAAGCCCCAGAGAGCCAGTCTGGCTGAACTGGGCTGAAAAGGGAGAGTAGAGGCTAGGCTGGAGCGGGAGAAGGGCTTGCCAAGTCACAGGCAGTCCCCACTGCTGGAGGGTGCTGCCCTTGTTAGATGCTGTGATTGCTTTCTTAATTTCAGGTTCCACAAAACACGGAAATTGGAGGTTTGGACTTGATGGGAGACATTGGGTTGTTGCAAAGAGGACAGCAAGCTGCCCAGGACAGAATCAGGCCAGAGCGGAGCTGCCATATGTGCCCTGTGGGTGGGTGGACACTGGAGAGGCAGGAGTGTATTTCGGAGAGGGTTAACAGTGCAGCGAGGGCTCCTGCGCCTCGTTGCCTTCCCCGGAGTCTGCATTTTTATGCTGATTGGAAGCTTGCGCTGTGTGTGCTGCTGAAATTGAATGTCAGGCTTTTGATTTTGTTGCTGGTCTCTAATGAAATTTGACATTTAATGGTGAGTGCAGCGGCAGCGTGTGTGTGTGTGATCGGAGCTTGATTAGCGCGCTCTAATTGACAGTAATTAGGCAGCTCCCTGATTGTTTCTAATTCTGCTATTAATTGTAAGGAACAGTATGATTGAGGATAAATTTGGTGCGTTGCTGCTGGGGATGCAGCTTCTTCAGCTCCGTATCGGAAGCCTATTGAGACCATCATGCTTAGGTTCCTAAGTGTGGCAACCCCAGTCACCTCGTCTGGCAGAGCGGTGCCGTGGGGGATCAATGCTTCTGCAGTGGCAGTGAGGATCCCGGGACCTGGATCTGCACCTGGGGGGCCCGAGAGCACCTCCTGGGACTGGCCCTTCCCAAAACGCATGCATCACCCTGTGAGGATGCTGCTGCTGAGCAGTATGCACAGGGACATGCGCTGAGGGGTTGGCATGTCAGGCTGCCCCAGTGATGCCACTGTGCTTGTCCCAGTCATGTAGATGGCAGCGTTGTCTCTGTGTGATCATCCCGGATGAACCCCAGTGCAGAGTGTGTCCAGCCTGACCCTGCCTAAGGAGCCTGAGCTGGAGTGGGTGTCGGAGCTGCCCTGTGTGATGGGGCTGAGTGCGGGTACTGTCCTATCTTGTGGGGCTGTGCATTTTGAGCCAGGCAGAGCACCAGGGCTGTCTCCAGGATGCTTGGTTGTCTCTAGAAAGAGCAGACTGTCACTGTCTTGCTGTACATTGCTTTCTTTATCTTTGTTCCCAGCTAACGGTACTGCCGATTCTCTCAGCTCCAGCCCGAACATTTCCAGTGCTGCCAGCCCGAAGCTGGAGCCGCCTCCATCACCACATGCAAACAGGAAGAAGCATCGCAGGAAAAAGAGCACAGGGACGACTCGGCCTGATGGCCCCAGCACAGCAGCAGAAGGTAGGAAAGGTCTGCTGCCTGGGTGGCAGCTGTGCTGGCTCAGAGCACCAGGCACCCAGGAGTCCTGCCGGGGCTCGCTGGGGACCTGGGGCTTGGAGCTCTCCTCATCTGAGCTGGCTTGGGCTTAGGCAGAAAGGAGCAACCTGCTCCTCTTGCTCTGCCCTTGATTTCTCACCTGCAGTGGAAGCAGGACTGCCATCATGCCCGTGACTGCACATACTATTAGTGGTAATAATAATTGCTGACTGTGTTAGCAGAGCTGAGAGCACACCATACAGTTAAGGCATGCTTAACTATGCTTAAGGTGTGCAGACGCTTTCTACCGCAAGAAAGAACCTATTTCTGTTGGCTTGTAAATTTGCCAAACTTCCATCATTTGAAAGACATATGCTGGCTATCATCTGCCTCAAACTTTCGGAAAAGTTTATCTACTTCAGGAAACCAGTTGAAAATGTTTACATTGCTTTGCCTATGCTAAAACTACTGATGGTTTTTCTGTTGAGAAACTTTGGTGTCTCTGCAGTTTCTGAAGAGGGACCCAAAGCTTGGCAGGGAGCCTGCAAGGCATAGGGAGGTGCATTTTGCTGTGAAAAGCCTTCCGGATTTGTCCAAGTAGAGATTAGCTTGGCAACCGCATTCTCCAAAGCCTGCATCTATGAT